CCAGAATGACAGGCATGCACTACCACGCCCAGCTGATTTTTTGATTTATTGTAGAGATGAGGTCTCGCTGCCCAGGCGGGTCTCGAACCCGCGGGCTCAGGCAATCCACTCACCTCAGCCTCCCAAAGGCGCGGGATTACAGGCTGAGCCACCACCGAGCACGGCTAGTTTGCTTTTTTTAAAAAGGTGGAGGGGGGATTAATACAATACAGCTTTGCCCAAGATGTTTCATTAGCACTTTAAGCCTGATTACATTCTTTCTATATGCTAATGGGTATCCTTCCTTTTTTTAATCTCAAACATTGCTACTCAGGTTCTCCAGGCCTTCAAGGGAGGACTGGCTAGATCATTTTCTCTCTAATTACTGTTATTTGCACTGCTGTTTGACTTGTTATTTACTTTTCTTATCATAAGATCTGCATAAAGAGATTAGGGCCCTCACTAAGTTTTCTGGTCATGATTCCAGTGCACTTAGTTTCAGGTAGACTCTGGTCAGTTTCCAACTGTTTTTCTTGGCTCATTTCATCCACGTGGTGGTAAAAATGCAAACACATTTTTTCCTTATCTCTGTTTCTCTACAAGGCTTGGTGGCAACCTTTACACACTGACCTGGATTAACTGACTTTCTAATTACGCTGGATACATTTCTTTCTTCCAATGCAATATTTTCCTTTCTACTTAAAACTGCTTACTGATTATGTGTGTGTGTGTGTGTGTGTGTGTGGTGTGTGTATGTATGCATGCACACATACAGACATTTACATGTATAATGATGTATACAAGAACTTGGTAACTAGCTCTTTAACTTCTGAGAAGGCCATCAGCAGAGCTACCATTGAACAGTGGGTGGTGGGGAGAGAGACTTATTTTTCACTATGTAGAACATTTTGTTTCTTTGGTGTTATATTCCTTTAAAGTATTGGTAATAAGATTAAAATAAAGGAATCCAGTACAGTAGAATGCACCTGCAGTCCCAGCTACTCAAGAAGCTAAGACAGGAAGGTCACTTAGCCTAGGAGTTTGAGGCTGCAATGAGCTACGATTCTGCCACTGCACTTCAGCCTGAGCAACATAGCAAAACTCACCCTTTAAAAAACTTTGTAAAGTTTAATTTAAAAAGTTAAATGATAAATTAACTAAATCAATAAAATGTCATAAATGGATTTTTTTATTTTTATTTTTTTTGAGTTGGAGTCTCACTCTGTCACCCAGACTGGAGTGCAGTGGCCGCTCCGGCCACTGCAGCCTCGACCTGCTGGACGCTGGCGATCCTTCCGCCTCAGCCTTCCAAGTAGCTGGAACTACAGGCGTGCGCTACCACACCCAGCTAATTTTTTATTTTATTGTAGAGATGAGGTCTCACCAAGTTGCCAGGCGGGTCTCGAACCCGTGGGCTCAGGCAGTCCACTCACCTCAGCCTCCCAAAGTGCTGGGATTACAGGCTGAGCCACTGAGCCCGGCTATAAATGGATTTTTGAGTTGGAGTCTCAATCTGTCATCCAGGCTGGAGTACAGTGGCATGATCATGGCTCACCCGCAGCCCCAACATCCTAGGCTCAGGTAATTCTCCCACCTCAGCTTCCCAACTAGCTGGGACTAGAGGTGCATGCCATCACACCAGGCTGATTCTTTGGGTTTTTTGTAGAGACAAGATCTTACTCTGTTGCCCAGGCTGGTCTCAAACTCCTAGGCTCAAGCAGTCCTCCCACCTTAGCCTCCCAAAGTGGTATAGGCGTGAGCCACCACACCCAGCCAGAATTTAATAAAAAATTCTGTAATGTATATTATTAAATGATGTTATATAGGTAGGTAATATACTGATTGTATCCATGAAATATAGAGAAGTTAATTATATAGATTCATGGTTATTGAGAGAAATGTTACCTTCCATTTATTTTAGTTTACAATTTATATAACTTTTCTTATTTAATCTTTAAGCAGCTTTGTCAGGTATCTGGTTATTATCTTCGTTTTACATACACTATCTTTATTTGTTTGAGAGAAGACAAAAACATTGAAAAACACACACAAAAGAAACAAAACCAAGGTTCCGAATAATGAGGTGACCTGAGTTCCACAGCTAGTACTTAAATCCAAAATAAGGTCTTTGGTGCCCTCAACTGGCACAGGATATGGCACTGAACCTGTCTGTTGTAAGTAATCAGCCATGCAGCCTATAGTAGCCCCTAGACTCTTCCCCATCCCCATCTGCAGTGCAGCAGCAAGCTTTGACTTTTGGCGCTGAAAATGCAAACAAAACAAAATGGACTTGTTCTGCAGCTCAGATGTTTCCCTGTGTCTTTCAATTGTTCTAGGAAGAGTTGCAGGCCAACTTGGACCTGATTCAAACCTACAGACTGCATATTGCCCAAGATATCAACCAAGAAAACCTACAGCTCTTCTTGGGTTCCTATAATGGGTACAGTTGTTTCCTGTTCTTCACTTAAATGCATACAGGTCTAAGAAGAAGGAGGGGGAATAAAGAGCACTGAGTCCAGTCTTGGGGCCAGATTCTTTGAGGTAAAAATGTTCCTTCCAGCTTTTCTGGGAACATGGACGAAGGCTGAGGAAATGGGTCTACTGTAACTTCCCAAGTTATATAGCCAGTAAGAAGCAAGCCAGAGTTTTAACCTTGTCTCTCTAGCTCTTCCCTCTAAACAACAGAGCCTGTTTTTGGTTAAAATCAGAAAGATTAAGTTCTGTCCTTAACTTTGTTAAAAGGAAAATGACCCCCCACCACCACCAAGTGTAAATCATTCTCTTGAGGAAGTTATTCCTATAAATTAAACACTTAGGACTCAAGGATTTCAGTAATGTTGCTGTTGACTTTTGAGGTTGTCTCCTTGTAGCATCTCAGAGTCTCTCAGGGTTGAGCCAGGAGCCTCGGTCCTGCCCTGTAACTCTCAGGACACTACTGAAAGGGCTACTTGAGAACAGAGTGCTCAGAGCCCCTCCCGCCTCAGGTGTGAAGGAAGGACTGTTTTACATTCCTTGGTATATTTTGATACTTGTGACCAGGAAATAACCTGAGTTGCTATGATTTTACCTGAAAAAGCATTGCTTTCACTTCATTTTTCTAGGCGCAGAGACCTGGAGATTGAAAGACCCATACTGGGCCAATATGATAACAAATTAAAAACATTAAAGTAAGTTCCGTTTCCCCCACTGAATTACCAGACTGATTCAGTGTTGGGTGGAGTTTATGCACCCAATTGCTGATTGATGCTTCTCATTTTGCCTGTACCTAGGTGCTCTACTTTACTGGTGGTAGGAGACAATTCACCTGCAGTTGAGGCTGTGGTAAGTATGTTCTGATGTTATGAAGATGAATGAGATTAAAATGTAGTGAAATGTACATAGCACACTACTGATACACTAAAAACAGTTGGTAATACTAGTTTTTGTTATTTCTGATCCACATATATTGGGTTTGCCCTTTGTTACACATTTTGGAAAATTAATTACTCATCACTAGATTTCATTAGATGGAATCAGTATTGCCCTTGATTACTTTGTGTGACACCATTCACTTTGTGGCAAGTAGTACAGCTGAACACCATTTAATTATTGTCAGGTTTCTGGCAGCTTCAGTCTTCAGTCTGATAGATTACCACAATAAATTCAGCAGACTAGAAATCTGTTGAGCCTGTGTGCTTTTCCCTACCTCTTTCTCAAGGACATAGTACATTGATAAAAATGATGTTATGTTCAATGTAGAAAATAAGAAATATTTAAAAAATAGAAGAATGGGGTAAAATTATCCCTTTACCCAAAGACAAGCTATTATCTTTTGCTTTAACATAGACCAGATTATATTAAATATACACGATATGGGGGCCTGACTTAACATTGTTGATAGCATTTTTTCATTATAAGGTCTTTATGTTTGTATAATATTCAGTTTTGTAGATTTGCTGTTATTTATTAATTTTATTTTGTGTTGATTATTTCTGATTTTGCACCTTTAATAATATTACTGTTGAACATCCTTATAAAATCTTTGACTGAATCTTTGATTATTTCCTTCAGATGGATTTCCAGAAGTGGAATTAGTGTGTCCCAAATCATAAACCTTCATAATTATTTTTGACCAGGCACAGTGGATCATGCCTGTAATCCAAACACTTTGGGAGGCTGAGGTGGGAGGATTGCTTGAGCCCAAAAGTTCAGGAGCAGCCTGGGCAACATAGTGAGACCTTGTCTTTATAAAAAAAAAAAAAAAATTGCCAGATTCTTTCTAGAAAGGATATACAGTCATGTTGCCACTAACACTGTATGGAATTACCAGCTTCACTGCACCCTGACTTTTTTTTATTAGTAGTTAAGTTGATAGGTTAAAATAGTATCTCACTGTTTTATTTCACATTTGTTTGATTACAAATGAAGTTAACAGTTTTACTTATGTCTATTTTATCTTTTCCACAGTATTTGTAACTTAGTATCTTGGTGAAATTACTTGATTTTTTTTTTTTTTTTTTGGCTGCCTTCACGTCTGCTCTAAATAGAGCAAAAACATGAAGGAGTGAAGCTTTTTGGAAAGGGAGTCTAATAATGAGATGTAGACATAGGTGAGAAGGTTTGTAAGATGAGGGAATGTTAATGGGGTGAGATAGATGTGAAGATAGAATACATTCACATCTCCCTGAGTTCCCTGTAAAACATTCTGTGTCTGGTGTAAAATACATGGCATGGCTTGCACACAGAGGCAAATAACTACCATTTCCACCACCTCAGAAAAAATTCCCCAAAATAATAAGACTATAGTAGTGACCGCAGTTATCAAGGGGCATCTTTATTTATAAATATCATTATTTTCTGACCTTTATAAAAATATCAAAAATGTTATGAAAATATCTATCCAAAGCATTTAAAAATAAATATATATTCTTAATACAGGAAAATAGGATTTTTGAAAGAAAATATTCTTAATCAGAATTTCCTTATAATACTGAGTTAAATATTTCTGTGACTCTTCAGTCTAGAATTATTTGCCTTTTTAAATTCATGTGAGCCGGGCTCGGTGGCTCAGCCTGTAATCCTGCACTTTGGGAGACTGAGGTGAGTGGATTGCCTGAGCCCATGGGTTTGAGACCCGCCTGGGCAACTTGGCGAGACTTCATCTCTACAATAAATCAAAAATTAGATGGGCGGCGTGGTAACGCGCGCCTGTAGTTCCAGCTACTTGGAAAGCTGAGGCGGAAGGATCGTTGG